TTAGAGCATTTGTCAAAATTTGATGAAATTAGTGATGATGAGCTGGACAACAAAGTGGGGAACTTTTTGCAAGAACATGGGTGCTTTGTTGGATCATCCATGATTTGTGGACATTTTCGATCTCAGGGAATCAGAATCCAGCGAGATCGCATTCGTAAGAGCCTGACAAGAATTGACCCGAGAAATGCAAGAATTCGATGGGCTATTACCATCTCTCGACGTGCATACTGTGTGCCTGGCCCAAACAGCTTGTGGCATATAGATGGCCACCATTCTCTGATATCCTGGGGATTCGTTATACATGGGGCCATTGATGGCTATTCACGTTTAATCACTTACCTCCATTGCTCAACAAATAATCGTAGTGACACAGTAAAAGAACTGTTCCTACGTGCCATCCAGTCATTTGGATTGCCCTCAAGGGTCCGGACAGATCGAGGTGGGGAAAATGTTGGCATCTGGCAAGAAATGGAAGTAAGGAGAGGCCCTAATAGAGGAAGCTACTTGGCAGGCACGTCAACCCACAACCAGAGGATCGAACGGCTTTGGCGGGATGTCTTTCGCTGTGTAGCCCACATTTTTTATTACACATTTCAGGCAATGGAAGAGAATGGTTTATTGAATATGGATAACCCAATTCATAAATCTGCTCTGCACTATGTGTTTTTGCCCCGTATAAACAGAGCTATAACAAGTTTTAAAACAGCATGGAATAACCATCCTCTTAGAACTGAGCACAACTGGAGCCCGCAAAGAATCTGGTCCAATGGTATGGTTGATATCAGAAACCGTACTTTAACTGCAGTAGCAGATGTAGCTCAGGCAGAGCCATCTATTGATGATTTAGACTGGTATGGATTTGATCCAGCTGCACCTACACCAATGGATGACGAATTACCCATAGTGGAAGTTGACGACGACAGTCCACTTTCAGATCATATCTTAGAGCAGCTCTGTACCATGGTCAATCCACTACAAGAATCGAATCGTTATGGAATTGATATATACACACATTGCCTCGCTATTCTTCAAGGTTTAGTTACCAGTGAGTAATGTACACTGTAATGGCTGATCATTTTGGGGGTGAGCATTGTCTGGTATGTGTCCTACCATTGAAAAGGGACCCTACATTTCTTTATCTAAATTTTTGGACAAATTTCGTCCAAATGCATGGCATCCTGGGGATTTGATTATCTGAATAATCAAATTTTGTGTTGGAATCAAACTTAGGACATTTTGTGTTTAGGTCCATTTTCAGTTTTTTGGCAGGGCTAACGTCCAATCTTGTGTACATGGTGCAACAACTCTGGTTGACTACAGTAAAAACCAGGCTGCTTGTAAGAACATAGATTTTGGGCAAGAAATGTTCATACACTGTATAGTATTGGTACTTACAGGGGTCAAAATCAAAAAAAAAAATTTTAGCTTAGGCTCTATCATTTGACTTAATGTCAGCTCAAGTGCAGGACCTCCTCTCCTTTCCTTGTAGATGGTGGCCAATAGGGTGGTATCTTGACAATCTGTGTAAAAAGCCCCCCTTTGACTTGCCCATCCTGACTTGTGCTTGGATTCAGCAGAACTCACAGCTGAATAATGGACCATAGAAAGCAAGTTACACACTGAAGAGTACATTTTGTTGAATTTCAAACATGTTTATTACCAACAGTAACATACAATCTCTTAATAAAACTAATGTCAACCCTACTTGTTATTGCTGTTCATAGACTACGTACTTGTACAGTCCAGCAGTAGGGATTTCCAAAGCATTGTAGGCGTTCTAATAGAATTTGAACAAATCGATAATTCTCTGGATAAGAGCGCAGGTATCAGACTCACACAACACTGCAAAATCAAAACAGTGCTATATCTATTCTGTTCTTTTGTTTGAATACTGCTATTTAGCCTGAAATCCAGAAATAGTTAAAAGTATTTCATGTGTATAATGTCTGCACTCTAGCTTCTAATGCTTTTCTCATCACTTTGTTGTTTTGTATAAAATAACAATGTTCATTTTTCAAAATGTCAATTTAGCATATTAAACGTACTTTGTTACATTATTCCAATGTGTATTTTGCTGTTTCTTACTTTAAATTTTCAACCTTTGTTTTGTATGATAAACAGTGTTTTGACTTAAGTTTAAATTATAACGAACAACAGGGAAAGGCGCCACTCAGTGTACTCCAAAGTGACTAGGAGGTGCAAACTTCAACCTCTGTTTTTAACGTAAACAGTGTTTTGATTTAACTTTAAATAACAAATAACAGGGGAAGGCGCCACTCGATGTACTCCAAAGTGACTATGAGGTGCAAATTTCAACCACTGTTTTTTTTAGATAAACAGTGTTCTGATTTAAGTTTAAATAACAAATAACAGGGGAAGGTCCCACTTGGTGTACTCCAAAGTGACTAGGAGGTGCAAATTGGTTTCTGACCAATTTTTTATCCCCCAAACTCCCTCAAGCTTTAAGGGAAACCTGAAAAATCCCATTACCAAAAGATGAAGTCCAAAAAACAATCCCACACTTAAATTTTTAACAGTTGCTGTTAAAAGTCAATGAAGGATTCAGGGAGAAACCATGATGACCCAAGTGAAACTGGAAAGCAGCAGGAATATTTTTAAGTACTGCAGGACTTTCCCCTGGACTGTTGTGTACCTAATATGCTTGAGTGACCATGAGTGATCAACCAGTGGTGAATGTGTTTCCCTTAATTACCGACCTCATTGAGCTTTCAAAATCTCTATAGCTGTCAAAATGGTTTGGCAGTTTGAGATCAAGAAGGCAGGTTGATGCAAATATGCTATTTGCAGCTGCACAAGATACTGTGATGCGTCTTGGTAGGATACATGTCCCTGAGGATCTTGAACCAGTCACAAACCTGAGGAAGTTGTCAAGATCATCTGGACTGCTATTTCGGATGAATGTTTGAAGCATCTGAAACACTCTCTCTGCGCCTTCATCCTCATTGGCAGTAAAATGTAGACAACTAGCCACTGACTCATTGCTTACTTCATCTTTATGAACAAAACAATCTTCAAACAACTGTGGACAACTTTTGATCTCATCCAATAGGCCTAGGATTGATAATCCTCCTCTGAACTGATCCAAAATGGACTTTTTTCTCACCAGAATATTATGCAGCATAAGAGACTGCATAACATCAATCTTGTTCTTAGGCTACAAATTTGAAACAAACCAAATTAATGACGAAGATGAGAAATTAGACCTTAGGTCTCCATGGGTTCAACCTGTCGGCATCAACATCATTCTTAATGCTATAAGCCTTCAAGTGAAAAATTGCATTCCATTATAGGGATGGTAAAATTCAACTAGGAAAGTTGTTAATATTTAACACTCATATCAGCTGCATGAGGTTTCATTGCAACAGTTACTAGGGTCCATTAATGTTTTTTGATGATCCCCTGTGAAGGAGTTATTTTTGTTTCTGATAATCTCTGTTCAATAAACACTCTTGTACTTTCAACTGTTTTCAGCCAAGCAAAATAATTTAAAACTACAACTTGAAATAGTCATTCATATATATTTTCTTTTTAACACCTAATGAGCTTAGGTTTCTCACTTACACTGAGTATTCTACTCTCTCCAGCCTCTGACATCAACTGCAGGAAACCAGACTCTGCTGAGATACCAGGCAGTTCATTGTCTGGTGCAAGAGTGATCTGAAGATCAATGAAAAATTAAGGTCACAGTCACATACAGTGGAATCCCAATTTTTCAAACCTCCTGGATTTCAGTTATTGGGAGGTTACAAAAATCAGGGGTAAAATTACACTGTATTAATAGGGAAATCTGTTTTGGTTTGAATAATATTATTCTTGGGTGTTTTGGGAAACCGAGGTTCTACTGTATTTTTATATGTTAGCCTATTGGAATGATTACAATGGATTCAATGCTATTTTCCCCATTTTTAGATACAAGAGGCTTCTAGTAGCCTTATGTTGGGCCACCATTAGCAAAACAATATTTTTTTCCTGTGACATCCTTGAGCATGTACAATACATTGTCAGATGAAGCTATAAAAATATTGAAATAGCTTTTCTGAACACTTTTAAAGCACACCTTTCTGGTTAATAAAAATAATTCTTTTTAATTCAATAGATAGTAGTTTTTCAATACATATTATTATATGGGGAACTCATTTTTGTGTACAAGTCAAGGCACGAAAAAGTCTAGTTCAATGTACTGAGGATTTTTATGAAATCAAACACATACCCTTGTGATATAATCAACAAGATCATGGTTATCAACATCTACACATGAGGCCCTCTGCAAAGCAACTTGAAGGTCACCAGTCGCCAAGTACCAGTAGATCGTTGGGGAGAGGTAAGGAAAACCTGGTCCTCCCTGCACAAGGCTGTGTGCAATCATTTTACCCAGAGTTTCAAAAAACCCATTAACAACTAGTTCATTACTGAAAGCAGGAAGTAGTCTATCTTCACTTCCAACAAATATGTTCTTGATTACTTCATTGTTGGCCAGTGCATGGAAAACATTGCTAAAAACCTGACGCAAAACCCCACCAGTATCAATGGCTGGTTGTCCCTTTAAGTAAATGAAGATAGGGATAAATGGGTCAAAATCTGAACTCTTGTAATAACTATATACATCCATTACTTCATCCTCTGGGTCAACTTTTAACTTCTCTCGCATCCCCCTTGATTTCATTTTCCTTCTTAACTTTTGTAATACAAAAGGAAGACTCCCTGACGAATGTGGTGGGTTTTCTTGGGTTACAATGTTACTGTTATCATCACTGCTGGTACTGGGGTTAATATCATGATCAAAATTTCCATATTGCAACAACACATTGACAGCAGTATTTATGGATGTGCAGGTTACCACTGCATTTCTTATAACATCATGAGGAATTCTAGGGAACATCATCGATAGGTTTTCCACTCTTTCTTGATCCAGCATTGAGTTGATAGCACCAGAGGGTCTTAACAAATCATCATGATCGTCATCATCAATAGAGCATGGAGGTTGAGCTGAAGATTCAGAGGTTTCATCAACAGGCTCTAAGGTAGCACCGCTTGAGGCATTACACAAATCAACATTGCTGGCGGTTGCTGGCGCAGTTTCCTCCTGGCACTTGTCACGAGCTTTGCCAGAAACTTCATCAACGTTATGAGTTATCAATCTAACATACAGTCTTCCGTTTCCACATAAATGCTTGACATGACTAAAATCCCATGCATGATTGTCTTTCACTATTGGAGTGATAATTACGTTGCGTTCCCTCTTCACAAACTCAAAATCATACAGACCAATGTCAGGATATCGTTTGTTAAAAACAGTCTTTAGTTCCCCTCTGATGGCCTCTTCGGTTTGGTCACTCTTCAGGTCAATTTCAGCCTTTAATAAGATGCAATCCTCAGTTATAGCATAATCACTATAACTTCCATCGTCTGTTATCTCAACATCGTCATCTGGTCTCTCCAAAAGCCAGACAGTCTTGGGAATTGACTGGACTGGCTTCGTCTTTTCTTGTTTCGTCTTCTTTGGCCTATTCTAATGGCCCGGAATATTTCGTCTTTTACAGTCGGTCGAGATGACGGCCCAAAAGAGCTCCTTTGTGCAGTTTGGCCCGCAAAAACATTATTCAATTCAGGTACAGAACTCGAAGCCGCCGAATGAATTAAATTTCTAGTTCTGGAGACAAGATTTAGCTCTAACTCCTCTCGGACACATCGCCTAATTCTCTCCTCTTCATCCGCCATGTTTGTTTCCTCGTGCTCGTGTCTCTATTTCCCAGCATACCCTGTGATTAGAATTTCTGGGTCCCAACCTCCCTCGA